TCACTGTATGAAAAGAAATGTAAATCTGCATACCGTATGTCATAGAACTAAAATTCAGCAGCAAACCCAAAAAGGTTAATCTGCCCTCATTTGCAAAAAATCTTAAACAGATTCAAGTTTTATTCAGCAGTGATAGTTACTTGATTTTTGTTTATGCTAAATAGAGAAAAATGTTAAATACATAGAAAATTAAGTTTTTTGGCTTTTGTTTTAAACATGGCCTCAATGACTCCAGCTTATTCAGAGAGAAGAATCTCCACTCAAAAGGCTCAAAAAAATAAACAGCCATGTGAACTTGTAAACAGACTTTCTGAGAGGTAAGCTGTAGCAATAACTATATGTAGTAAACAGAAAATACCACTGTTGAAGATTCAGCATTGGAAAAAAACACCAATATCATAAGCAGGAGGAATATTTTACTTTTTGTGTGCATGCTGTATATTTTAATTTCATTACTGAGTAAAATTCTAATATTTACCCTAAAAGCAAGTGTAAGTAATACTTACAGTAGTTCTTCAACCTTTCTAATTTAATGAAGAGTCAACATCTGATGACTTTAGCCGATACATTTAGTAAAAAAAAAAAATCTCGCTTTATTAAGAGGATGTTCCCATTTACAGATTCAAAAGCACATCTGTATTATTTAAGACGCAATTCTGTTTGTACCACCTATTTCTTTATAAGTAACAGTCCTACTTTTAACTACTGTTAGCATTAAATTACACTGGGAATCTGAGAAGTAAAATGGATTCTTAACTTAGACAAGTTTTGTTACCATAGTTTGACATCGTTACTCAATAGCAGTAATTGCCTGGAAGTACAGCAGCTGCACTTAAGAATCAATGGCATAGACCACTCACAGAGGGTACAGAACCAAGAACGTAATGCTATTATGAGAGATTTCCTGACTCTGCATCCTGGAGTGTTTTCTGTCTTACTGCACCACAGATGTAACACAAATTTCAATGGACTGTGTTTTACAATTAAATGAAAAATTCTACTCACTGTAAAATTAACCTGCAACCAAGTATGCTATCAAGGTGTATATATTCGTAGTTTAGACCTTCTTTTGCTTAATAAAGTTGTATTTTATTCTATACATCTTATCTTTAGGCAAAACTTTGAGGCTGCCAAAACCTGCTATTCAAGCACATATGACAAAGTTATCCTTTCACATCAAGACTTACCTGGCAAGAAGTCTGCCCAAAGCAAGTCTGCAATCAACATCAGAAACACCAATGATTCCAATGCAAATGTAAGACTTCAGAGTGAAAATAAAAAGCCACAGAACTATCTCAGAAAGAGTACATCCCCACATCATGGCACTGTTTAACATTTCCATTGTTACTAAATTGATTATTACAATCTAAGCATGTCTAGTCTATTTGAGGCTAAGGCAGGATAGAGTTAAAAAAACAAGTATTTTAGCTTATATATTAGCATATTACTTCATATGAGTATGTTACAGACTTTTTATACAACTTAGTCCTTGTATAAATGGTGAAAGGGACAGAAAAGGAGAACTGGATCTTACCTCTGGAATTGTGTTTCATATACTGAAACAAAGAATGACACCCTAGCCATACAAATCACTATCAAAACCAAAAGAAAACCTTCTCAGTACAACCAACATGCACCACACTGGGGCTCCTACTGTAGAAAGGTATAAATATCCCTCAGTTCAAAGGATTACACAATTAAAGAGAAAAATAAACAACAGATATTTCCAACTTGAATTCTGTAACAGTCTATCACGACTCGGAATTTACACTCCTCAACATGTATTCAGAGTGAAAATGCTACATAGATCCTTAATTAAACATCACTTTCTATTCTATACCTACATAAATATTTGCCTTCAGTATTAACAAGGCTATATTTATTAATCCCAACAGATTTTAAGTTCTGCTTTGGATCATGCCATACAAACAGCAAACAGTCTGAAGAAAGCTACAGAACGAATGTTACAAGCGGTTTCGGAAGATCTAGCTCAAGTCAAAAGAAATCAGCTTTAATTACCCAGTTTCAAATGCAGTATTGTTTTGCTGATTGATAGTGAAGTAAGTATCAGTATCTCTGCAAATATAGACTGATAAATACCAAGATCATAAAGTCAGCTAGTGACTTTGCCAGCTGTTCTGTAACTATCAGTACTAAACTAAACCAGAGCATATTGGTTTTCCACACATTCACATTCAGTCTCAGAACTAGGAAACAAATTACTAATTCTACTGAAGGTCTTTAGTATGCTGGCTAACCCCTGTTACTGTATACAGCTATGTTCTCTAAGCATTCATTTAAGATAGCTTAATAAAAGTTGGCTTAAACAAGCAAGGTTAACTTTTTTTTTTATTTCCCCCACTCCCAAACAGGAGACTAAATCTCAGCCATTACTACATATATTTTCTTCCCACACCTGAACAGCAGCTGCTTAAGCACACCAAAGGAAACAGCCTCTGAACCCGAGACATCAGGTTAGCATCATGCTAACATACCGAGTCATAGTTAGCATATGTAATTATTTTGTTTTTAGAGTGCCCTACATTGCGAGTTGTTTGGTTTTAAGATACTTCCTTGTATGTCTCAGTAACTGAGTAATACCATTTAATGTCTATGAAGAAACAATTTAATTGTTAGGAATGCAATGTGGTGTCCTTACCTTGTCAGATATATCTGGCTTTTGATATTTTAGCTGATGGTAAGTACACTGGAAAATTTTAAAATACTGTAGAAATACAGTGGGCTAAGAAAAGCCATCTACTATTTTCCTTCTGAAATCCACTTAACTGCAGTGATTAGAAGCAAGCAGTTAACAGCCTTGTATTATCAGGGATGCTATTCCCTGAGGCAATTCCAAAGTATATAGGGACTGATGGAAATCATCACTTCAAGTTAGAAGCACAGTGCATTGCTTAAAAAGGACGGTTATTTTCAGGCAAACCTGAGTGGTGTCGTCAGTTGATGGATAGAGATAATCTGGACTGTTCATGCAAGCAGTGATAGTTAAATGTGCTGCTGCGTATCACTGATTTACCAGCCTGAGTCAATGCATTTTTTCAGGGCTTCCACACTTCACAGCCAACAATACCATTAACCTTTTCTCCCTTAGGCTCTTACTGTTTATCCTTGCAACTCAATTTGCCTCTGCTTGTTATCCATGTTTTTACTTTACTTAGTTTAAGACAACAGCACAGGATATTGAAAGGCTAACTCCCCTGTGCTAGATTAATGTTTGGAATGGCCCTGTTAGCACTTTGCAACTGAACTTCGTAGTTGAAATAATTGCTGTAGGCTTTGTAGATCCAATAAGAAAAGATTAATCTCTTCCACAGAAATGTTTCTGCATCGCAAGAACAGCTAGACATTTCGTTTATCCTGGGCCACTGTCTGAACCTGCTGTCCTGGGCCTGATAGCAAATGCCTTAAGAAAGAACATATTTAAATGAGACAAGCATGTCGTAACGCTTCCTCAGAACATTCTCTGGCAAACTGAAAGCTCAGTGATATTTATTGTGATATTTATCGTTAGGAATTAGAATTCAGAAAAACATTATGGATACTTCTACTAAAAAGTTTTTAAAGTTTTGATGCACATGACATTTGATGAACCAGTTAAATTGAAAAGGTGTTGTTCCTGTATCCCTATTAAAAATAAAATCAGTATATGTTAGATACCTAACTCATGTAGGTGCATTTGAAAGCTACAGCCACTTATCCTCATCATGCCCCATATCCTGCAACGTTTTAGAATTGTTACTAATGTTCTCCTGTTTCATTCTTCTCTGATGTAGGAGGGAAATTTGACCTTTTTCCACCCTCTAAATTTGAACGAACTTACCTAGCAAAGATGTTCTCTTAACCTACTAATTAACCTGAGGGCAAAAATTAAGGGAAAAAACCAAAACCTCCTTTCTGCAAAACAAGAATGAATACCCTTACAGTTGGGAAATATGTAAACAAAAAGCCGTAAGTAATCTATTCTTTTTCATTATGATATTTCTCTCAGATTTTACATACAAACTAACCTTTTAAGGCACATCAATACAATATCCCTTTAAAAGGTTAGTAAATTTACACTTAAATAATCTTCTAAGACAAATCTAAACATTACCAATATTACAGAATTAATACAATTTAGAATTTATTTGATCCCCTTCAACAAATTTATGTATTTCTTAGTACGTAACAAAGTAGAAGAAAACAGTAAATTCTCTTGAATGCATCTGGTTTGGGTATTTGATTTGCTTTGTGCATTTTTTTTATTTTTTTTTAAATTACCAAGCCACTTGAGATTCAACTGTTTCCCTCCTTTTCCTCTCCTCCTGGCCCCACTCCCCAAAAAGAGAATTTATGCCTAAAATTTTGGAACTTCTATGTCACAGGCAATACATCTTAAAACAGGCAGACTACATCGACACAGTTATATGTGAGTTTGTAAGAAATTAAGTTTTTTTGAAAAGCTTTAGTAATAATCCCTGTATATGCTTAAATATAAAGTGTACTTCAGTGCACAGTTGACAGCATTTCTCCAAGTTATTTATTGAAATTAGAACTGCTTAGTACTTCTGTGATTAATTTTCTACCTTACCCACCACCAGCTAAAAAAATATTGATTTTTCACAGTTACAAATATTTAAAGAATTTTCAGTGAGTTATTTTACAGAAAAATGAGTTTGAGACATTGCACTTATGTGAAATTTTTACCATAACCTCATATTTACAAATTTTCTTCTGAAGCCTCTAAGAGCCTAAGCCCTTTTTAATTCAGTCATTTTTAGAAATAACTATTATAGAAAGATTTCACAGTTCTCAAAATCAATTCCAGTTTAAATATAATCATGATACCTTTTAGCATAATTTGTTAGGCGTGAACATGCCCTTTTGAAAAAGCACTTACAGTGTAACACTGTCTATCCTAAATACAACCTAAGAAACACATGTTTTTTCCTCTCTGCCTTCTACTCCCCAAAAAAGCAGCAAGTTTAAATTAGAAAATGACCATTAGTCAGAACCATGTAGTGTCCTAGTACAGTATTTAGAAAAGTCAGTTCCATAAGAATATGTACGTATTATTTGTCTTTTCCTAATACATCATAAACATCACCATTTCTAGTCATCCTTAATGCAGACGATATCCTTTGGTTTACTAAGGCTCTTTACTTCATCCAGTAGTCTTTTAGGTGTCAAAATATGAGTAGAACCTGACAAAAGAACATAAGTATTAACTGTACTAGTCTGAAATTCTGACTTTCAGACATTATTTTTTAAAAAAAATTATGACATGCCAGTGCTTTTTACTGTACCTGGAAAACTGAAAGTACAACAGTTGAAAGTGTTTCATGTGTTACCATATAAAGTGTCACCATTAGGTAGGCAGTGTCGCTCTTCCACGCACTGAGACATCCAGATTAGGACTGTTACTCTGGATTCAAGTTTCAAGTCCCTGCTCTGCCTGGTTTGAAACAGGCTTGAATCTGGGCAGCTTTCACTTTATGCAACTGTCCCAGCCTGCCAGAAATCTGCCCATTCTGTGAAAGAGCAAGTTAATGACAGGCCTTATCCTAGAATCAAGAAGCCATCTGGATTAAAGATTACCCAATAGTAGTTTTCCACAGAAATATCAGTTACAGAAAATTGGCTTTTACTGACTAACATTTCCTTGGGGAAAAACAAAAAAAAAACCCTGCAACAAATTCCAAGTCTGGAGCAGCAAAGAAAATCCTTACTATTCTTCAGGACTGCACAACTACCTCTTGTTCTCACAAACAGTGATTATAACCTCTGCCATGAAGGGTCACCCTATAGTTATAAAGGGAACTCTTAGCTGTTTAAGGTTAGGGCTGCCTTGAACCTTGAATCAGGAGTACAAGGTGGTTTCCATCTTGCAGTAAGCAGCATGAAAGTTTGGCAGTTATCACCTTCCCTCAGAAATCAGGATTATCAACAAAACTACAAGAATCACCTCTAAACAAAAGGGAAGGTGGGGCCATGGTTAGTGCCAGATATTACAGTGAAAGAGTGACCAACACTAACATGGTTTTGTAAACAAGTCTCAGATGAAGAAACGGTCTTGTTAAACTACATTCCTGTTGTCCTGGTCTTTCCATTGCAACTCAATACTAGGACCAGTGTTAAACCTACCTCAACCACCACCAACTAAACCAGCAAACAAAAAATAAACCAAAAAGACAACACCACACAAACATACCTACAACACACCCCATTATTTTGGGGTAACAGACTCTAGATCTCAGAATCAAGGTTGTCATTGCTTTAGGACAAGTATTTATTTATTTAAAATAATGGTAGATAGATTTAATCCTTTTTGAAACTCAAGACTACATTTAATTGCCAGATATAGGCATCTCAAGCAATTTAGAATGCTTCAGATGACCCTGCACCCGGACACCAGCTGCCACTGCAGATGGATACCAGTCTCTGGTAAGATTCTGTATCTAGGAGCTCTGTTTTGATATACCATATGTGTAAGTGTTTTAGCATCTAAATTCAAACAGCATTACAGGAAATGATTATTTGAAGCACAGCAGGTAATGGAACAAGCATTTGCTGCCTCTGAAGTATTGAGAGATTACCACCCCAGCTGGTAATTCATGCATTTACTGCTGAATTTTAAGAAGATTGGGGAAATTACTCCGGTTTTCAGTGCAAAAGCTATAAATCATGGTGTGGTTTGTGTAAAGTTTCTGTAGAAATCATGACAAGAACTAGAAGTTGTTGCAAAGTCAACTAAGCTAAACTGAAAAAGTTTTTGAAGGGATTGTTTTGTTGGGGAGGGGTTTGGGTTTTGTTGTTTGGGGTTTTTTAAAGAAAAAATACCTATCTTCCCTTCCTCCCAAAGCGACTAATTTTGCACTGGTCTGCCAGCTTTCCTACTACTTCCAAAAGCAATGAGAACAAGTGTAGCTGCAGGTAAAGCACAGGCAGACACAGAAGTTTGTGAGGGGATCTTATCAATGCTTATAAATATCTAAAGGGCAGGTGTCAAGAGGATGGGGCCAGACTCTTTTCAGTGGTGCCCAGCAATAGGACACGGGGCAACAGGCACAAACTGGAACACAGGAACATGAACTTCTTCACTCTGAGGGTGACAGAGCACTGGAACAGGCTGCCCAGAGAGGTTGTGGAGTCTCCTCTGGAGATACTCAAAACTGCCTGGACATGATCCTGAGCAACCTGCTCTAGGTGATCCTGCTTTAGCAGGGGGGTTGGACTAGATGATTCCAGAGGTCCCTTCTAACCCCTACCGTTCTGTGATTCTGTGAAACCAATGCAAGGAAATACAGGTCTGCTTAAAAGCCTTTTTGTTATACATCAGGCTACTTTAATAATCTATTTCTCTGACTTAATTTGTGACGATTCTTCTGTATGCATTGCTCTTAATATCTTGTTGCAAAAAAACCACCCCAAAAAAACCCAAACATCAGCAATCCAGATAAACTGAAAAGATACTTCTAAATGCATAGTTTTTAAAAATACATTGACTATAGCATTAGTTTACTGAACCAACTTAGGGAATGTAAGAAAAGAGATCCTTACATTTTCCAGAAACACATGTAGTAAACCCCTACATACCACCCTTCTCCCAAGACAAGCTTACCAATAACAACTTCACAGGACTTGTAGGCTTGAGAAACTTCATAAGCACTGCGCATCTCAGAATACGTAATTCCTCCAATCACAAATATAATCAGTCTCGCACTACTCTTTCGCTCGCCTTGATAGCTAGCTTTAGGTTTCTGGCGTGCACTGTAAGAAATGTCGTAAGATGAGATTTATATAGCTTTACTGATTAATTTTGGTAAAAGTTAAACACTTTATAAGCAGTAACAATTTCTATCATGCAGTTCACAGTTTTATTATAATTTTAGCAAAAGAATGTAGACAAATTGCTAATTATTTTAATTTAAAATGAAAACAGTTTAGCACATTACTCAAACTATTCAGTTATCACAAGGGGGAAACTAAATACAAAGCAAAAACCTTGTTGCATACACAGCTCACACACAAAGAAGTTCTACAGAGCAGCTTAGTTCTGCATGCTAGCAATTCCAGTGGCATTTTTCATAAGAGGTTCATTTGAAAAAGCTAGAGCCTTAGGTTTTTCAGTCTCCAAACGTGAACAGAATCTCTAAAAAAAATATTTGGCTGTTATCAACTAAGATTGAGATAGCTAGGAACAAAAAAAAGCTCTTAAAATATACTTTCTAACACACATATAGTAACTGCAGAATCAGATTAAGTCATCTGCAGTCCTGATCTCTCTTTGCTAGGGTGCCTAAAAGACTCCCAAATTTCACCAGCCTGTAAGACAGAGATCCAGTTAGAATATACAAAGACTTGCCCTAATGTTTCCTTGCACTGGTCATCATAGTGCCTGTCCAGGAACATAAGGACACACCAACAGTTTGGTTAGCAGTGGAAGTAACAAAACTATTTTCCTAAGGCTGTGTATCTGTAATATTTTTCTTTTATTTAGTAAAGTACAGATTCCCATTCAAATGTGTCCTCCACATTTAGGACATGTAGAATGATTCCCTCCCTGTGAATTCCAGCATCTGATCAGTGCAATGACCATTCCTGTGACAGAAACACACTCATGTCTATTCAGCTGCCTCACTATTTAAATAACACTACCAAAAGTGATAAAAGCTGTCAAACTGGCAGGTATTGGTCATGAGGTTCAAGAGCTAGTGGAATTAAAAAGGGGGAAGAAGGAACAATACAAGTTAGTGACCTAAAAAGCATTACCAAAAATCACCTCTCAGTGCTACTCAGTAAATACGCAAGTACACAGAACGCATTATTTCACATTCATTGGCAGAGAATTAATTTCAAGCCCTCCAACTTTTCTGGACTTCTCTAAACCACAACCTGCCAAGAGGATCTAACAGGCCCATATTCCCTAATGGGAGAGCCTACAGAAACTGAACTGAACTTAAAGTCATTATTTTCAAGAATGACACCACCACTACCACAGCAGAAATAACTTTCAGAAGAAATGAAAACATTCTTTTTGCCTAAGTCACAGTATACTGATAATCCTTTCGTGAAACTCCTTCATACTAATAAGTTCAATGGTTTAAACTTCTCATTCTGGGAATATGGAAGTGTTATTTCTACCTTTGAAGAAAAAGGCAGATACTTCAAATAAAAAGCTATAGAAAAGTTATTAAGCTAACAACCAAGTTCCATATGTTTCAGATGAAATTAAAATATAGGTTACACATTGACATTACCTTATATAAATTATTTCACCACTTAGTAAGTGCACTTTTATAATGCTTTCGAATATGCATGACAACAACCCTGAGAAATGGGTAAATTATGTTTCAAGAAATTAAACAATTTACCTTACTACTCCTGAACCATTCCAGGTAGGAGGACACTGGGAACAGTAAGGCCAGTCTTTGGAATCTAGTTTGTTCTCTATAGCATCCTGAAGGACAAAACAAAGACCCACTTTAAACAGCCATGTAGTCCTAAAACCCATCAAGTTTCAACTTCCAGTAAGGATGTCTAACTGGCATTTAATGCCAGCACATGCAGTTTCTTAGAACAACCAATCACAAGCAGCACCTCATGACCAATGCTCCTGTGTAACAAAATGCTAGACCACATAACACTAAAAGTTATTATAAGGCCTTTGCATATCACAAGGAATTGGAAGTACATCTGCTTTCTTTATAAATATAGCATTGATTTAACTGTTTAGATTTCACTAGTACCTTTTCACATGTAACTACCCTAACAGAGTTCTCTATAGCAGTATATGAGAGAAGTTAGGGTCCCCGAAGACACAAAGGAACACGTGAAAGTCACCAAGAATCTATGAATGACAGCAATGGGTCAGACTAAAGGTCCAGAGAACTCACTGTTCTGTCTATCAGTCACTAACTGATGCTTAGGAAGAGGTTTAAGAACAAAGCAACTACACTTATGGCAAGTAACACTTTCCAGCCTCTACCAATCTACAGCTTAGATTTGAATTGCAGTTTAAAGACCCGCTGGAGGAAAAAAATATCCAGATCTTCAAATTATACTAAACACCATCAATCACAGGACAAACTTTTCAAAGAGACTTTTTACTTTTGCTTGCTTCACCTTTAAAATGATGTCAAATAAGGAGCACTGCTAACACACAGCAGTCTGATGTTCTGTATTTACAGAGTAGAAGTGATCACTTTGCTCAACAAACATATTTAACAAAAGTAACTCAAGATACTATGGAATTTCAAAAGATTGACTATAACTGCTCACTTGAGAAAATTTCGGCACTGCACCCATGAATTAACTAGTTGGTCAAATTTACCTCCATAACATCTTTGATAACAGGCGTCCACCTAGAAAGTTGAAAAGTTTCTTCTGAAGAACGGTCCCTTCTTGGGTGTTTATGCTGCTGAGCAGCAGGCTGAAAAGATTTTCAAAACACCGTTGTATTGTATAGTGTATTTGGATTTTTGAAGCTTACTCCCAGTTAGTAGCAAGTGGGGGGGGGATCATGAGGAAATTTACAAGAAATAATAACAACAAAGAACAACAATTAATACCTGCAGAATTCAGGATACACTAGAAATACTAATTTCAGAGACAAGGAACCAAGTTGGCACTTTCCAAAACCAACTAGCTCAAGTCACCATCTGATGATTTTAGAGAGAACATTATAGGTATATTGGAAAGTTATTCATGTTAATTGTTTAAAGGATTTACCACTTAGACACATCATAAAGACAAGAATTCCTAGTAATTGCCTGCTTCCCTGCCCCCCCCTCCCCTCCCCCCCAAAAAATAGCAACCTGGATAATACTACTAAGAGCTGCTGAAAGAGCCGTAGACAAGTGCTTGGGTGGTAGGAAATTACAAAATAAATAAATACATTCTTACTGAAGAGATAACAGGAACATCAAGGTATTTCCAATTTCTGATCATGTCACTATCACTTTCTATTTGTACATTCTGGATCAGCTTGTCCAAGTTCTCCTGGGTAGTTCCTTTGATATAAGGAAAATACACAACTTAACTACCATGTGACTGTAGGACCCATTTTGTCTCACATTCTGGGCTGTTAATGAATACAGGATTATTTTGTTTGGCTAGTCTACTCTAAGTTTAACATAATACTACATTTTAGATAACATTGTTTAATGGTCCATTTTTGAGACCAAAACTCAGTATTGTTATAGATTCCTCAGACCCACATTCTGTCAATTTCCTCCTCCTCCTCTACAAATTCTTCCCCATTGACTTCATTTTCATGTTGCAATGGGCATAAGCTTCAATACTATGTGAAAAGGAGAACATTTTAACTGTTGCACACATCCACGCATAGAAATGATGCTAAAACACTGTATGGATCTGCATTTCTATTGAATTTCTTAACTCCTTACCAATAGTATCCTTGCTACTAATTCAAGAGAAGAGAAACTACAGGGATGGACAGTATTTCTTTCAAACTTGGCCATCAGATGCTTAAGTTAACTAGAAATACTGAACTATCCCAAAACTTGATTTGAAGTCCATAGCAGTGAGGAAAAAAAAATAGGGCAGTTTGTCATACCATTTGTGCTAAAGATATACAGGAGAATAGCTCTAATTTTGTCATAGCTCTCATGACTTTTGTTGAGCAGAACTGGAAGGAGGACTCTCATGGAGTCTTTCACTTTTTGACCTTCTGCATCAGTTCCAAGAGCCAAGTCCTAAATTAAAAAAAAAGGTATTAGTGAGTACTCATAAAAAAAAAAAAAGCATTGTTTTGTGTGTTCCAAAATGCATTTTTACGAAACCGCATGTTTGAGGAAACAATCAAGCTGCGATTTAAAGTCAATATGAAAAATCTTTGACATAATTACTTCAACAGTTACAGCATTTTAGCAACGCTACATAATACTCAGACATTTAAAACTGTTTGATATCTAAAACTCATAAATATAAATCATAGTTTTTAACTTGAGATTGGTAATACAACATAATGCCTCACCCTAACAGGTGCTTTTCCCAGACATTTTTAAAGGGCTTCCTTCTGCAGAACGTAGTAATGCAACTTCATAGTTTTGAACAAAGATGATCCTTATACAACTCAGCCAGATTCAAAGACAAAAAATCATAACCCTAAGAGCACCTCCTTTATTGGCAGAGTAAGAGCTTTGTATATCCCATCTAGCTTTAATACTACCACCTCGAAAAGTGATCACAAAAAAAAAGGCAAGAGAGACACTACTTTTGTCTGTTAAAAACAAGCATCTATTCCTGCAAACAAAGTCGCATTTGCAGTAAATTCTTGTTTAGTTTGTGGGGTTTTTTAACATACCTGCTCAGTTTTACAGAGCCTTTCTATGTTAGATTTGAACTTGCTCATGCAATCTTCTGCTAAGTTAAGATGGACAACTTGCTAGAAGACAAAACCAGAAGCTGCCATAACTTGCTTTTAAAAAAAAAAAACAAAAACAAAACACAAAACAAAAACCAACAACCACCACACATCAAGTAATCATTTTTACTGGTTACAAGAGTCAATCCTTCAACTACCCTTCAGTTCCATCATACATTTTCTGTGTTTTACCCTTCATTTGGAGTTTGGCCCCCATAATACCTACGAAAACATTAAAGTCCTATGCTATCTTCAATACTTAAAGCACACAAATCTTTTAAGCTTATTTTATGTACTAAAGTGAAACACCTGGAAACAAGTTTTCCTCAAAATTTTACAGTAGGTGAACACATTAGTTTGGAGAAAAGTTATATAGCATACTTAACAGAAAATGACAGAATAAAACTAGACTTCAACGCAGAAAGTTATAGCATACAAACCAATTTATTGTGAAGTTGTAGTTACAAAAGAGCCCTTACCCTACTAATCTCTTTACGATAGTGCGGCATCTTTTTCATTAACTGGGCCAGAGCAGATATTGATAACTGTGAAGAAATGGTACAAGTTGAAAGTTTTCTCCTCCCAATATTTGACATCCTTATTTCCTGTTGCAGCCTTGCTTCTTCCTTCCCCCCCCCCCAAAAAATTGCCATTGAGATAAACCTCAATTTCTATAATAGATCCATGAATTACATAGATCTGATCAGCTGAAAATAACTAAATTACCAGGAAAAACAGTAACACTACTTTAAACAACTTACTTTTCCTTCTGTTGCTTTTCTTGTTGATGAAATTTCTTTCAAAAGTTTCGGTATTTCCCTGAGGAAAAAAAAACCCACAAAGAAAAGTAATCAAATGCAACAGCACCAGTCCATAAATCTTTTCATAAGATCTTTACTTAAAATCTTAAAAGAACTGTGCAACAAGAATTTCTGGATGAAAGTAAAAGCTTCAAATACAGGTCTGCTTCAGAGAACAGAGTGGTTTTTGATGAAGGAAACTGAAGTTAAACATTCCGTTTATGATATCTGTATAATGCCATTTGATGAAATAACTTGTCCTTCAAATTTAAAATATCTGAAGATACTTCCTAGGAAATAATTTTATTTCCTTTTTCCTCAAGAATTGTAATTAATATTAGTAAAATTGCATACTTCTGTACATACTGTATTTTTGAAAGTATGTCTCCTTCCTAGCATTGATAATTTAACAGGATTTATTCACATACTCTATCACATCTGCAATATGCTTGTGGCGAATCTTCACCCAGAGCTCATCATCTTCCTCCAGAATTGCCTCCTGTTCCTTCCCAGCAAGTCCTTCTGTTTTGTATCTTCCAAAAGAAAATTCAGACAGTTGTTTGGTTTGGGTTTCCCTCCCCCATTCTCATAACTTATTAGATTATTAATTGTCATGGTTTAATCAACATATAAGATAACAGCAGTAACGTACACAGGTTTTCACTTATAAGCCAAGCTACTGCCTGACACAATATAATTTACATAAGGATTCTGAAAATTACATCTTTGAACATGGAATCAGATGAATTTTAGAATGATTCTTTGGGCCAGTAGCTTCTGGGCATTCTTTTAAACCAACAGTAACTAGAGTTTCAATCATACATTTACACACATCAATTTCTTTTCAGCTTCCAATGTCAACTTCCCTTTGGCTTCAAATGCAAATTGTGTGCAAAGCAATACACATTGAGATTACAAAATACAGCTTTCTATATCTACTATAAGACATTTTGTAACTCTGAAGGAAAATGAAGTCTCAGTCACCCACAAAATAAAGTGGAACAAATTACTTCACAGATACAAGAAACACACTCCACAGCATTACAGACCAGCTATTACTTTTATACAAACAGAAATAAACCTATAAAGCAAGACAGCAATCATACTACACAAGAGTTTCACATACACAAACTCACGTAGTGTATATGACCAGAAAGCAGAAGAATATTTAAAAAATTACAAGATTAATTGTGAAGGTCAGATCATAACTACCTAGTAAACCTACTCTGCTACACTTTCATACCCAGCAAATTTCACATTCATAGAATTCTACGTTTTCTGTGAAATCATTCACTCAGTGTTTCTGACAGAAGACAAGCATTCCTGTTTGCTCAACTAATCAATGAGGCAATTAAGTCTCATTTGCTGTAGTGGGTCATCAGAAAGCAAAGCCTTACCAAAATCTTTCATGTCAGAACAACCTGACAGCAAAGTACGTACCTTATGCAAAACAATGTCACACTACTCTGACTAGTGATAAAATAATGCTTATAAGCTGAACATGGCTTGCCTAACTGTGCATTTAAGATAGAAACATGTAAATTTTAACAACTACACAAATTAAATGACTGGAGCTATGAAAGTGAGCATTCCAGAGAACTAACTAAGCTTTTTCTCAGTATTCGATTACTGGTCTTGTTTGCCTTGTTAGGCCAAGACAGTTGAGAATATGAAAGAAAAGGTAGAGAATCTGAACATGCACTAACAAGGTTTTGCTTCAAGTCTAGAACAAGGTTCTTTGTTTTTAAAAATAATGCAACTTGTTAGACTCGGAACTTAACGAAAATGCCAATTAGATCCTACCTAATCTCAACTAAATGAGGAAGTTAACAAAAAGAGGAAGTTACAAATCCAAAAGGAAGGACTAATAAGTGCGGCAACCCTTACGTAATATCAGCAACTAATATTGCTGTTGTGCAATTCAGCTAAACAATTCCATAGATTTTATAATCAAGAATAAAGTGTTTAGATTTTTTTTAAAAAGTACTTGCTTGTAAGTGTCATTTTCAATTGGTAGCAGATCATATGCCATTGCCTGGAAGGTGAGTTCATGAAGTACAGTTGATACTGGGTCAAAGCCACGATCTATTATTATTAGTTGGGAGTGGGTTTTAGCCTAGAAAGCCATCAAGTAAATGTAAAGTTAAGACATACAGTACAAAGTTAATGCATGTTAAATCTATTTACAGCAAGTTGTACCACTGCTGACATTTTTTGGAAAAATAACTGAAAAACACTAAGAAGTATGGTCCAAGTGTTAATCAACATAAATAGAAAACGAACATTTAAATGATGACCAGAACACAGTGATAGTGATTTTAAATACTAATTTTAAGGCAATGCTCTTAGCCCATTGCAATGCATTCGGTAACTTCACCTAATGAGCAAAGAGTGTAAAGAACAACACACGAAAAAGGCCTCTCACTGACTTTTCACAAATAAGCATGTAGTTTGTATTTCAGCACAGATTATCTATACTGTGCTACAATACAGAAAGAAAAAATAATCTCCAAACATTCAACTGAAAGTTTTATCTTGGGGTTTAGTAAAGTGGCAGCAGCATCAGGTACATTTATTTCTGTAGCAGAGTCAAACATCACCAAGTCAAAACAGTTTACCCCATACTTCTGCATTTAGGCAGCTGCCCTAATCTGCCTTGATCTGCAGTGACAAATCAAAAACATTATTTATGTGAAAAGCTGTATCTTTGCAGACAATAAATCCCTTAATGGAAGACATTCCAATTCTGTGGTGAAGTCCCTTCTACACATAGTCCTATAGAAGGTGACGTTAAAACAAAAGTTACCCACTTCTCCTCAGGTTTGTATCATCCCCTACATCATAGGGCAAATTTTTCAAGTATAGTTAGTTTGATCACACAAGTTATATTTGCTTACACACAGATTTACTGTATCAGTTAACACCTTTAGGTTGCTTTCACACACAGAAACAACTTAAGTGGCAACTAGTTGCCTTTATTAATAAAATACGGGTTTGTAGAACCTATTGTCAAAACATATTCCAAAGATTATTTTTTTCCCAGACTTACAAAAAAAAGGAGCAAACAGTTCACTTTCTACCTTTATGTGGCTTTTCTCATCAGTTTTGTAGTAGTTTTCAAGATTTTTTTCAACAAGCTGTGCAAGTTTGCTGGCTTTATCAGATGGTCCACTGGGAAAAAAGGAAGCATGCAACAATAACTTAAATTTCTTCAACACACTAAAATGCTACCTTTAAAAACAGAAAGAATTCCCTAGGTTGATCCTCTGGTTTCATGAGCAGTTTCTGAACTCCATTCTAAGTATTTCCAATATATTTTCACTCTTACATTACAATTCCACTCTTTGAAAGCTTCAGGTATTTCACATAGTAGAAACAGCTTCAGCCAAAAGACTGACATTAGCTGGCAGATGGCCCAGCACCTAAAAGGTCTCACCCAGAGGCAGGAAACAAAAAAAGAAAAAAAGAGAGTAAAAGAAAGAAAGAAAAGAAAAAACAGTCAAGCAATTATTTCTTTTTTACCTTTCCAGAGAATAAGGCACCACTTCACATTACACCACAGAATGCAATTCTTGAGCATAATTTCAGATGCCTACTTTGACTTCAAAGATACTACTCTGTACTCTCTATCAAAGCTCAAAAGAGGTATTCTTCTTAGTATCTCTACTACAAAGAAATCCTGATTCCATCTGCCTCAGCAATTTATTAATTCCTTGATGCCAAGTGGAGCTGCAAAACTACCAACAGGAACAGTTCTGTTACAGGATTATGCATGTGGTATATTAGAAAGCAGCATATTAAGAGTGTCATCCTACTGACCATACATGAGACATCATAATGAAACAGGGTAAGTACTGTTATATGAATACACAGAGAAATAATTCACTGCTGTGCCTACATTTCACAAATTCCTATCATTCCATATTTCAGAGTTGTGGATTAAGAACAATTCATCCACAAAAAAAAAAAAAACAACCCAAAAAAACCCCTATGCTGCAGCCTCAACCTATTACCAAACAACGTGGGAAGTCCTAGAAGCGAAAGCAACTACACTATAAAGCAATATTTTTGCCCCACCTTTTATATCGGACTCCTGGATTCTCATCTAGCGTGGCACATAAGGTAACAATTTGTTCAGCCATTACTTGCATTACAGCATCTCTATCCTTTGTCTTTTCCAGAGTTGGACTATAACAGCGGTAGAACGCATCTGGCACATTGAGAGTAAATACCTATGTAAAGCACAACCAAGAAAAAAAAATGGCTTAAATTGTATATTTCTAAAATAGTTGGTGAAACAATTGCCAATACTTTAAAGCTACATGCTGTAATGAAGTCATACATAATATACTTTAAAAAAACCAAAGCCACACTTCAGTCTTGTTGAGCTCATCTGCTTCTTGTTCTCACACTCTCTTCCTCTATTGCTTCGTTCTCTACGTAAGTTACTGTATTTTTCAAATTGCTTACTATCTGTACAGATGGAGGGACCTGAGACAGGCAGAACTATATACCATCCAGTGTCTCATACAGAGCCATGCAATGCAATATCACAGTGATCATAGAAAGCATGAAGTTAAATTTGTTTAAAATAAGATTCTACATACTGTATCTGGTTATTATATGAAGACTTTACCTGCAAGAACTGAAATTCTTTAAATGCATTAAACCTTGATAAAAGATGTTTAGTACTACACAGAAGAAAAACTTTTTCAACAGTTTAGTAAATGGAATGCAAACATGGAAACAATCCCATTGTCAACAAATGGATTTTCTCCAGCTTCACAGGGACTCTGTAACTACAGAGCCAAAGAACATTCATCCAGATAAAGATGTTTGTTTCATGTGAATAGATAGTTACCTGGACTTTGCCCAGAGCTCAGTCTGATTATTTACTCTTGTCTGCCCAGAAAGCAGGCCCAGCGATTTTAAATTAGGAAAACCAGTTAACATTTTCTGTTCCTTTTCTAAGGATTCAAAGTGTTCTCACAACCCAAAATAGTGAGAACACAAAACTAAACTAAAACCAAGAAGAGACTAAGTGCTGCTCATTTTCAACTTTGCAAAAGTAGTCCCAATTTCTACTTTCATGTTAAGTCCTCTAGAGAACCAGGACAACAAAATTTTCACATGCCTTATTTAGTAGGGGAAGCTACAAAACTTTAAGAGCAGCTTTAGCAGAACTCCCAAAACCAGTTTGAAAAAAAGCTTGGGCACATCAACACCACTGGAAAACAAACCAACCACCACACTAACCATTCTCTGATGGCTTCTCAATCTAGACAATAAAAAACTTTTATTAAAAAAAAAAAAGGAGTGCATCTTCAAACTAGGAAACTGCATCACAGTAAGACATGGATAGCAGCAACCTCTCCTATATTCACCTGCCACTTGGCACACATAGAAGTTCTGAATACAGGAAGGACTTGTGGGAAACATTCACGGTTAGTTCTACAACTCCTAATAGTGGACAGGGTTTGGGGGCTTCACTGTATTAGTGAGTATCAGAGTGCATTTCAGCCGTCATACCTGATGAAGTGCATGAGCAACAAATTATTTCTCAACACAATACCCACTGTGTGGTTTCACATGGAAACCACTCATTGGTTTCCACTGAGTCTCAAATTTTTATTTGAGAAAACATGGATTCACACATTTTCCTTTCAATAAAAAAAAAGTTTGCCAAGTTGTTCTGAGTTTTGTTTCTGTGTTTTGTGAAGCTCTGGTTTTGTTCCCCTCCCCTTCAGTTCTCTTCATCCATTTGCTCTCCTTTGCTAATTTTCTCCAAGTAGTTAGTTCTACTTATTCCTACGCACCAACCTACCTAGTCTGTCAAAATAACACCTCAGTATAAGCAGTAACAAACTTAACTGCTTACTAAAGACAAGCCAGAATATTTTCCTCCTCTTAAGGAATATTTCTTCTCTAACCTCTCTACTGCAACTGACTCCAAATCTTGCAAAGAGGTCAAGTGCAAACAATAAACCTTTGAGTACAAGAGTATTTGTTTTCATCTGAAAAATACAGGCATGCACTGGAAATCTGCCAAAAGAGCACTAAGTTTCACAGTTTGTGAGTAAAAAAAGCTGCATTGTATTTAATTGTTTTCTAGCAGGTCAACAACACATGAAAATAGTTCTCCAGACTATTTTCTGCTGTTGAGATCAAGAATGAAACTTACCTGAGACTCATATGGGAAGAAGGAAATGTTGATCTCCTTGCATCTCCTTATTGATTTTGCACAGGAAGACTTAATTTTATTGAAGAGGTTGTCAGGACAAACTAGGAAAAAATATTATAACTCACTTATAAGCTTACAGTATTCAGAATAGACAGACAATCCTAAGAACCAATTAACAGTAACGTACAAAAAAGTTGCCAAATCTTCCTAAAATGAAAGAGAAAGTATAATCAGTATTTTGTGCTTGAGATATTTTTCAAGAAGCATCACTGGTCATTTTTGTACTGCCATTTGGCAAGCGAAGTTGTAGAACGCTCATTAGCAGTCTGCAGCATTGAAGGATACTGATTTTATCAAAGCAAAAGTTTCTGCTATTTCTTCTCATATAAGGGAGGGAAAACATTTCTCAAGCTACAAAAAGGTTAAAGGGAGAAATTATGCATACATATCGAACAGCAAAATACAGAGAAATACGGAATTAAATTATAGATCTGAAATATGTTTCACTATATTTACAGGCTACATTGGATTCGAGTCTAGAAACTGAATTTAAGGAATATTTGGACAACATCAATACTACACAGACTTGAAAGTGACAGAGCTATTTCTCTAACCCCTCTCAACATGAAAAGTTTTGGCAAGTATTCAAACTGAAAGCTTCCACACTTGCAACAAAGGAACATACAGCAAGACAGCAGTACTTTTCCAAAACAAGAATTTCTGCATCAGCATAAAATGAAACAAGAAACTAAGTTTTTTATAGTTATCAAACAATTGCTGTGAGAACATAGGGTAGCAGATCCACAGACCATCCAGAGACAGACACAACTTCATTTCTGCCTTCAGTGGCATGCTTGGTTTTTTGTTTTCCCTTTATTACAGACCATTTTAGTCACACTGAGTGCAGAGGAACATGTAGTCCCATTAACTCTATTTGCACTAATTGTCTCTGCTTGCAAGGGCTAAGTAGGCACCTTCTTTCAGGTGATGAGAAAAAGCTGGCTCAAGTCTGAAGGAAAATAACCAATTACAGAACATTGTTCTTGCAGCTAGTTCTTATGCATTTATATTTAAGTACTATTTTGTTTATGACATACATAGTTTTACTGGAACTGTCTACCTCCACACCCTCCAACATAGGAGAAGACTGAAATACTTTAAAAATAAAACTAGATTACCTGAATGAAAAGCTGAGGTGGGGAATGATCAACATTGGTAATTGTGTAAGAAATTACTATTGCCGCACAGCACAATGACCATGCCCTGGCAACCCAAATATGGTTAGTGATTTAAGTCTCAAATCTTCTCTCAAGAAACAGGACCCAAAATTTCAATGTACTAAACTACACAAAAGAAAGTTGAGAAGCTTACTTATTTACATATATAAAGTCATCAAACTACAACACAAAAGCTTACTTACAGTCAGTGAAATACACATACGCTGCTTTGTATCTGCTGGATGATTTAGTGATAAAGTCATCAATAAGTCCATCCACAGACTTATGGGGATAGGAAAATTAAGGAAAAAAAATCATTACCATGTTTTGCCTTTCCTCACATACAAGACAAAGCTTCTCCCTCCCCTCCTCCTGCCCTGTTAATTACCCAGTCTCACTTAGGAATACTGCAAATCAAGGAGAGTATTAATTCCAGACCAAGAATAGTAAACAACTACAGAAGGTCAGTCACACACCATGATCACTTTAGAAAGCACACAAAGCAGGGTGCTTACATTATTTTCCACCTCTAACAGTGCTGAGATTTATTCTCTCAATTTTTAGGAAACAACAGTGATCTCTTATTGACGTCATTACTTTGAATTCTATTTTTCAATGTATTGCATCATTATTCGATACAACATCCCTTTCAGTGAGGTTACCAATATCTAAGCTATGAAACAATGCCTCTATTGATCCAAAAGTGCACATTTGCAACATGCTCTGTGGTGACACTGCACTGTCATTTCATTATGGAAAATTAAGCATCACGCAAAATGCAAAAGTTAGGTACTGTATAGTTGTACACAGTAAATATTTTAAATTAATAAGATTGCTTTTTCAGTCTGAAAGATGTCAGTTTTCTTTAAAATACTAACCTTTTTAGTGGGAGTTATGAAATACACTGCTTTCATGTGTGGGACAGGCTCACGGTTTTTATATACGTTCTCCACCACTATAAAGTAAGAAATATTACATTTTTATAATTAAGAGCTTTATGCATCTGCAAGGAAAGCACCACACACATTTTAGTATAGAGGTAATAAAAATAAGACCAATCGAGTTGTCCCCAAAATTAGTGGCAAGGACCTATCTTGTGCCAAGACCGCCTTGATTTTTTTATTATTTTAAATACAGCAAGTTACCACAAGACATCTTCAACCCTCAGTCTAGCATCAACTAAATTTGTAGGACTAAATCTTTCCTGGCTATTCTACACAAGCAGAGTTTTGCCCCCACACAGAAAAGTATGGCAAAACAAACATGCTCAAACTATGGGGCCCAGTATGAACTATCTTCCAGGAGAACTGCCTCAGCAAGATTGTTCTTCCAGCACACTGAAGGAGAGGGAGAATGAAACTATACAAGCTATCATTTTGGACTAGAGCCTCTTCTGGCCTTTGTCTGTTTCCTGTGCACTTACTCTGTTTCAATATAATTGCAGGCACAAATTAGACATTTTCAGCAAATCAGCTTCACTCAACTCTTGGTTTTATCTGTTTAATAAAGGCATTACTACATAGTGTTGCAGTACACTAGCTTGAGAATGCAGAGAGATTCATGTTGCTCAGTAATTTTGAGGCGGAGGAACAAGGAAGATAAATAATGTCAGACATCTGGATGTGGAAAGACAGGTTCTTTTCAGTAGCATACACGCTAAGAATAAAAAGGTTTCTTACTGATGAACAGGATACACACTCACTGAAAGTTACTCACAAAGCATAAGCAGTACTTCTTATGATTAAAAATACACTCCAAAGAGTGAAATGTATACAGCTTTGCTATTAAACTTCCAGAAGAATTATGTTATACTGAATAGTTGGAATAGAAGAGTCTTGCTACTTGTCAAAAAATAAGTAAACAATGCTCTCTTACAAAAGTGTTTCTAAAAATCTAAATGTAAAGATAATTAAAAACTAGATCATTTACATTTTGTGCATTCATTTCAATTTCAAAACAGGCAGGAAAAATGTTTGGCAGGATGATACACTAATAAACATAACAAAGGTCAAACAAAAAAAGCAACTTTGAGAAGGGAATGATAGGGAAAACATCCTTTTTTAAGTTGTAGGGAAGAAAAGCCCATAAAATTTACTAGAGAGAAAATACTTTTTTAAAAATACATATAGAGAAACAAAGTCTTATCTAAATAGGCCTACTGCATAAGTGAGATCTATCACAATCCATTATTCACATCTGACAGTGGAAAACATCAAGGAACTGGAGAGACATTCCAGCAGATGAGAAACTCCACTCCACTAGAAACTACTCTCAAATTTTTTGGAAAAGTGACAATCTAACTACTGTTACTGTTGCTTATGGGTTTAGTCTAGTTAAAGTAATCATTACTATAGTTTAGTTTCAAGTTTTTGTTGTGGTTTGGTTTTTTTTTTAATTACAGAAAGCTCTGTTTTTGAGAAGAGGCTATAACATATCTGTACAACATAGAACTCAAATTTAAATTCTTGCCTCTATCATATCCACTTGCTTGTAAACACCTTTCATCAGTTTGTCCACTATTGTCTCCTGTTCTCATTTTGTCTTCAGTACTTAAGTTTTCCTTAAAATCACTTTGTGACAAATAACTTCATTTGCCCCATCCTCGACATTAGCAAACAAACATCCACCCACACACAAAAAAAAAAAAAAAGCACAAAACTGACAAACACCAAAACCAGCTTACAATGATATTCAGGAAAAAGTTGTTTTGGTATTTTTAAGAGTTTTAGCTTCTAGGCAGAGAAACATTTCATTTTTCATTTAAAAAAATTTAAAAAATAATAAAAAAATCAGTTGGGTAATTACTGTACAAGCCAGAAATGCTGCTAGTCTAATATCCCATAGCCACTTGTCTTCATCAAGAAACTTAAGACAATTTTTTGCAAGGGTACCATCAATTTTATTCTTTCTCTTTTTCTTATCAGGATATTGCCATCTGTATATTAAAAAGAATTATGCTTACCTGTGATACCTTCTGCCAGCAGATCAGTCATTTTGCAGCACAGTGACAGTAATTTAGTAGTGTAATCATCTAAAAGAATTATCTAAATATATTAAAAAACCACAAGTATTTAGATAAATTAATCAGCTAGAGTAAAGCCTATATTATTTCCTCAACAACTTGCCATGGAAATTTGAAGCTGAAATATATTTTATTACTCTGCATCTCTTCATCACCTGCATATACCAACTTTGCAGTGGGAAATTAATTTCAAATAGCACCAGAAGGCAGCTCCCTACATTCAGGATTTCAAAAGATGAGCTCCATCTTAAATAAGTAGCTTGTCCCCACTACTGCTACTAGAAATATTTTTAACTTACACTTTGACACAAGTCTTTTAAATTTGTGCTAAAATATATCTGTACTTATTCTAAAACTACTTTACAGCTCCAACAGGTATCATACTGTTGAATCCTGCTCCACATGTATTGCATAGCAGTATAATTTTTGAAGTTAATAAAAGTCTTTCAAAAGAAAAGTGAAGATAAACAGAATGTACTGATAAACAGTTTGTAATTTTTTTTCAAAACTTAAAAAACAAATCAAGACAACTAACCATTTATTCTTCCTATAGTAGCTCTCAGACTTTTTTGTTAGTATTATACAAAGATCCGAGATAACTAAAAGCCATTACTTGGATAGACAACAGTTTTAAGTGCCAGACACTAAATGATACTTATTTGTTGTATACTTGGTGATAGAATCACTTGAGCAATAATCTGTAACATTCTTGCAAAAATTACAGCAAAACTATACCTTCCATTCCTCCTCTTTCTTGCAGTCATCAAATATTGAGGATTTTAGCTCTGTAAGAAGAATCAGTGATAGATAATTTACCAGAGGAATCAAGTTGTTATTAAAAATAATAATTCACTCATTTAGACTCATATGTTTAGAGACCTAAAAAAATAATTAAAAAAAACCACTGAGAATTTTTCTCCTACACAATTCTTGACCATGTAGCTAATTGGTGGTTTTTTGGTAATAAACAGCTCCTTAAAAATCAGTCTGAACAGTCAAAAGTCTCTAAGTTTTTCACTTTTTTGTGTGTGTGTGTGAACTCTTCCACTAAAATGGATCGTGCACATGCAAAAAAGTTTAAGCTGCTCTAAGTTAAGGCAGCTGGACCAACACATTCACAAACAGACCTATTTTAAAATATAGGCTAACTTCAGATGTCCTTGTTCTTTCTCTAGAATCCCAGAATAAGCCTAAGAAAATACCAGTTCTTTCAGGAATTGAAAGTCATCTTAAATAACATATCTTTTCCTGCTGTGACAACTTTGGGAGAAGTGTCAATTAAAAAGCTCGTACCAGATTCAGCACTAGAAGTCAGCATCTAGTTATAACCCACAACTTTTAAAGACCACTAGAACTGAGTTGCAACTTTCAGGAGTGGTGTCATCAGGCTAATGCAGATTTGATCTCACAGCAGTGGTATGTATTAATTACAAGTCAGAAGATTTTGAGTACTGTTTAAAACCTGTTATATATAAACATATAAATAAAGACATCTGATTATTCTGTTCTCTTTTCCCATAGAACAAAATTTCAGATTAAGGTGATGACTACTGATATCTACTAAAATAGCTGGACCTTTCTCCCAAATGAAAAAATGGAAGTAATAGGAACAGAAGCCCAAAATACAAGTGAGAAAATTCAGCACAGGCATTTTGTGATTACTGCCAAGTGAAAGAACCATAAGACGTTTCAGAATAGTAGGTGCACATACAACAAAACATACATCTATTTCTTCAGTGTTTATAAATATTAATATATTCACTTATGTCCAAGTCCCTTGGTCCCAACTGGCATATTTTGTTCATGCTGGTAAACAATAAAACTCAAGCTCAGTTCTCCTGAACCTTTTTCTGCTTACACAACTCCCAAAATCCATTATCATTCCTCAAGCTTGCCCTCTGGGTTGTTCAGGTTGCTCAACATCCTTCTCGCTGTACAGAATCCACAGATTTGAACAAGTTCTAGGGCTGCTTAGCCTGGTGTAGAGACTCTTATGACTTCTTTGGATATAGTCTCTCTAAAGCTGCAGAACGCTCATCACTCCATAGCTACTACCAAGATGTATTTCTTGGCAATACTTGAATCCATGATGTAACATAAGCACATTTTTTTCCTGTCACTTTTATACTGTGTATTTGTTATTTACATTTTTCTAGGTCTGTACACAAGGTGTAAGAACAAATCTTTAGCCTCATGAATATTTCATTACCCTTCATAACTTCCATTAATCTTCCTTTTCTGAGAACACTTCTACCAAGGAATTAGTCCTTAGCATTACATAGAATTCTTCTTAATATATTGAGTGCCCGAGAGCCTTGTCCAAAATCTTAAATATATTTTTTTCTACAATACCTTAACTTACTTTCCTATAAAATAAACCAGAACATACAAATGCATAATCCAGTTATGTCTTGAACTTCATTTCTGTAATTAAAAACAGAAGTCAGCTTTCTCCCACCACAAAAGAATTTTTATTCCAAGCTATCAGTGTACCAGATACAGTGTACTATCTGTGCAACATTCCAACTGCTGTTTGTTTTGTCTTCAACCTGCAGCTGCTTTATCAATAACTGACCTACACTGGTTTCCAGGCTCTCAAAATCATCTGTTTCCAATAAGCACTCTGAATGCAACAAAACCAATCCTAAATCCAGGTATGAGTAGTGCTCCATTTTTGTCTAAGCTTTCTTTTCCTTCTCACAAATTTCATACCAACTATGCATCCTAACTACCTTCTCTAATTTTGTCTTCTCTGAATACATTCAATTAGTTTAAGGCATTTTTCTTCTGCTTTTACTTCCCGATCCAGATAAGAACTATACACAACCCCACTGGAACATCAGACTGCTAAATCCCTTTGTGAAAGACAAACAAACAAAACCAAAAAGCAAACCACACCTTGGCAAAGTTAATGACCCATTTATAACACACTTCCTGAAGTAAGGACTAGAACAGCTTTCACTGTAAGCAAGTGTTCTGGAAAATAAGAGTTGCAGAAATGCTGAATCATTTAAAAAAATTAACATAGATATCTATGGCTAGGCTACAATCTTATTATACAAGTCTAGAACACATTTTAAATTTGTAAGAAAAAAATAAATACATAATTCCTTGTGGAAATAACCTTATTTACAGATACACACATAGAGATGCAGTTTATAATTAATTTCATACACAGGAACTACTCTGTCCTAAATCCAGCTAGCTTCCCCCACCCCCATAACTGAACTTCACTGACAAACTTTGGTGAAGTAATCTTTTCACACACACTTCTGCTTAGATTTAATCTAAAATTGCACCTTACAGAAAGGGCTATTACAATGGAAAGAAGGGGTTTTAACAGCACCATACCAGAGCACAGGTATAACACTCCTTGTACACACAGCACAGGTACAACTTCCTTGCCTATTGGCAGAACAGGAATAAGAAATACATTGACAACAAGCTGTTACACAAGGCATCAGCATCACTGACATTATTTTCAGACAAACCAGCCTTAAAAAAAATGCTTGCTGAAACATTAAAAAGCAGCAGTTTATGGCCTTGAATTAGCCGTAAACGAAGTGCTGGACAACATCTAAAACTTAGGTCATCGCTTCTCATTGTTCTTGTAGTCTTGAAAAAACAAGAATAACTAGCTCTGTAACAAAACATTCTTTTCAGAAGATTCCTTTTTACAAAGTTTCCAATATAAACATTTTATTATTCACACTGCTTCACTATCACTCTAATCTTTCCTTCTCATGGTCATGTCCACACTGGCAACGCCCTTTTCAAAAGCCCTTATACACCCTGATGACACTTTGTTTAGGTTCCCTCCTTTTAAAGTCCAAGTCTTCTATAAAACACCTCAGGACAAACCAACTGCTTTACAGTCAAAGGCACAAATAACACAGCAAGACAAGACAAGCAAAGCAACAAAAGTAGGGATTTCTAAAGGTCAAGTTCTAAATAAAGGAATGTAACTCATGTGAGCAGAGTACAGATGTCAGCAATCAAGGACTGAACACCACAGGAACAGTCTGCTTTTCCTCTTTCTCCCCTTTTTCTATTTTCTCTTCCAGTGACACAAGCAAGCAGACTGGAGCTTGCAGGTGGGAGCAGAGGAAGAAAACACAGATGAGAAGGCAGCAGGACCTTCCCATCTCAGTGACAGTCAGTCACTAGGCTGGCCCAGCTGCTCATGGAGTCACAACCTCAGTACAATTAGGCCTGGCATGAGATGCCTGCTAATGCCTTTCCCCAGAGGTCCCACACTACCTCAAATACTATTAGCTCTTCTACTCCAGTAACACGTAGAGCAGTTATTTCATTTTCTGTAACAAACACCACCAGAACTTGTTCCTAAACATGGCGATAAAAACCTTCAGTTCATTTATGAAAGTACCTGGGGACCCCTTCAGCTTTTATTTTTTTTCTGAAAACCGTGAAGCCCAACATAAAGCAGATAGTGCCACTTTGTGACAGACAACTAGAAAGCCCCTTCTGAAGCCGGGATCACTCTACAATCGGAAGCAACAGGGAAGTCCTCGGAGAGCTGACTTCAGTTTAATTTCTTCAAGAGCTGGTGTGGCTGGCCATATACTACATAGTTCACCTTCAGCTCGGAATAAGGCAATATCGTTTCCATCTAGGTGCTATTACTGCAGGCCCCCGCGGCACGGCC